ACAAATCTCGGGTGCATGACCCAGTTCCGAGCGACGCAGCGGCGCGAAGCCTTCAATACGGTCGTCAAGTAGCTTCCTGAGCTCTGGCTCGAGTCGAGGCGCGCTGTTCGGCGTGAGTGAGCACACAATACCCAGGGCCTTTATTGTTCCTGCAATATATCCTCGAAAGTCGATTTGATGGAGTGCTCCCAGTCGTGCTCGGTTTTCAAGGGCTTCCATCCAATCGCAAAAGCCTTGTGGGATCTAGTACTAGAGCTATTTGTTCCGTCAGATCTTGTTCAGGTTGGGGATGAGAGATTGCATCTCACTTAGAAGCAAAGCACGCTTCCGCATAACCCACGTTTCCATCGGCCAGTTTCTCTGCAGCATCCCTAAGGCTTATCGATCTCGGGCTAGCTGATCTCAAGACGCCCAAGTCAAACCCTGCCTTGCCTATCCGGCTTGTCACATCAACCCACTTGTGAGATCCAGTGTTGGCGAAGTAGTAGCCATTCCGGCCAAAGGGGATTTCTTCGCCGGACAGAATCCTCGCCACTAACGTGACATAGAGACGAGCCAGGTCCTCTACATGGACATGGCCTAGCTTTGCTTCGCCGGTGTCGACATGTTCTGCGTAGCCAGATGCAATTGCGTTCCTGATCAGTGCGGGGATTTGGTGTGATTGGTTCTTGAACCACCCGCTACCCCGGCCATAGACGAGTGGGGGCATGACGACGTATGCCTTGACCCCCAAGCTCTCACTCGTCTGTATGGCTGTAATTTCGGCTGTTCTCTGTGCGTAGGCTTCTTGAGAGTCGCGCGTTTGCTCATAATTGAATATATCATCATCCTGATCGGAAAATGTTCGTAGCTCGAATGAGGATGGCGTGATAGATGGGACGGATACGCAGGTTGTTCCCGAGAGCTGAGGATTTCCAAGATTACTTTTGTCAAAATGCTGTCCGAGGATACCCTTGTGGATAGCAGTAGGCACAGCTACTCACATGAAGGAAGTGAACATCGTGGCCAGTCTGCTCACGTCTCTTGCTGAGACCTTGTATGAGTGCCTTGGTGGCAGCAACGTGGAAGCCGGTCGCAACATTAACGACGATATCGTGGCTGCTGGCCGCTCGTGCTAGTCCGTCCGCATCATCCAGACCAGACACAAGGGTCGTTTGAACCCCTTTGCTAGTCAAGAGATCTGCTTGCTCTGGGCGACGTACAGCTGCTGTGATGGACAGCTTCGCTAGTTGAGTCTCGGCCAATTCGAGTAACTGATGCAGAACAGTTCCTCCACTGCAATGATCACGTTAGCGTTTGATATGACGCTCCTTCAAAATGAGACGTACATAAATCCAGTCGCTCCTGTCAAAAGTAGTTTGGTCTGCGTCATGGTCAATTGACGTTCTAGTTTCTGTGGCCTGCAATGAACATCCTACATTCACTCGGGAGGTACAAGTCAGTTATATCCATGTACCCCGCTTGGTGGCTGATCATCACGATTACAAATAGAGCCTTGTCACATGCGGAACTCGAGAAGAGACTTGGGTCTCTTCTGCCCTACGAAATGGAAGTGGAAATGACGATGGACCATATTGGTTCTATTTAGGAGGGGCTTTCGCTGGCGCTAGGCCCACGCGGAATACATTTTCCTAGCACTTCCTCCAGCTTAGATTCGACATACCGGCAACTTCTTAGTAACAAAAATCATCTGTTGTCGTCATCACGAACTGAGACTCTGTTCCCTGTAAGCTGTGACTTGTCTCGATGTACGAGTATCTCTGACTAGACTATATCTTTTACATTCATTGCAAGGGTGTGATATGCGGTACTATGAGCTTTCCCGGAACCTGCTTGCCGTAACTGTAGTATCTTGGGCCCTCTTAGAGATACTAGTGAGAGCTCCTGTGAGGAGGTAGCATTCATTCCTTCTTTCTCATACCTCCTTTCATGGCATTTCCTTTGCCATATCTGTACACTGTTCGCTTCGTACAAAGCAGACTCACCGAGCATACAGTCACGTGACTGTGACCGACTCCAAAATAGTGCAGGAAGGTTCTCGACTAGCCGAATCCAGACAGGCGTGGGGTGGGGTTCCGCTCCGCCCCCGACCGCATCCGTCTGGCTCTTATCAACCACCGCTGCCATTTGATCGGCGTGTCTTCTGCCTAGGTTCACATAGACACTATCAGTTCTACATTTACTAGTCGATATGAGCGGCTTCAGAGGGGTTATGAAAGAGGGCTGGCACCCTAAAGGTCGAGATGGGAAGAAGGAAGGTTGGAGGAATGATTTCAAAGGCATCAATCAAGTGGTTCGTGTCTGCTCCCGATCACGTAGTTGAGCTTAGTGCTGACCAACTTCTCTAACAACCAGGCCGGATGGATGGGCAAAGGAAAGGACAAGGATGAGCATGAAGAGCATGTCGCCGTACCACTCTCATCCTTGAAGGATCCTGCCTCTTTTGGACCACCCCCGAAGCACATCAAGTACCACGGCGCCGGAGCGCTCCCGAACGAACTCACACCGGACCGGAGAGGCTTGGGCGCCCCCTTATCTCAAGACCATTTTAATCAACAACATGCACGACAACAGGAGGAGGAGCAAGCTCGGAACGATGAGGCTCAGAAGCCAGCAGCACCTCCTCTACCATATCGAGCGAATCGGACAGGACTAGATACCGCCAACCTACCGCCGCCCCCAGTCAGGCGCGTGGACTCTCCGGCAGACTCTGTGACATCTGCAAGCTCCAAACCAAAACCCAGCGTTCCACCTCGACTTCCGTCTCGGGCCAGCTCAACGCTGTCCTCGCAGCCGCCCACTCCGCCTCCCGCCTATTCCACACAGCCGTCAACCACCAAACCTCTCGAAGGATACCTGAATCAGAATGCCACTTCTAATCTCTCCCGAGCCGGTATTTCAGTGCCTGCTCTCGGCATCGGGAGTGATAGCAGTCCTTCCGGCGCTGCTTCACCACCAACTGCGGGCCCAGTTGGTCAAGCTCCAGTGAATGAGCTCCAGGCTCGCTTTTCTCAGCTGAGGACTACATCCTCCGCCCCAGCACCTCCTCCGCCAGCACGAGGAAGTATCTACGCAAACGAATCATCACTTGTGTCTACCCCCCACGCACGGAGTGGTTCTGCGTCGCTCAACGACTTCCGCGAGCGACATGGCGATAAGATTGAGGCCGGCAAACAAAAGCTAAACGGGCTCAATGAGAAATATGGAATTTCGCAACGGGTCAACAAGTTCTTTGATGATCAAAAGTCCCCAAGTGCTCAGGTGCCCCCGGTGCCTCCGCACCCGGCTGTACATCGTTCCTCATCGAGCGTCGACTCCTTGGGCCAGAGAAAGGCCCCGCCGCCGCCGCCTCCAAAGAAGGCGGGGATGCGATCAACGCCTGTTAATAGCACAGGTTCTGCGCCGCCGCCTGTTCCATTTAACACTAAACCCCGCTGAGCGCAGGGTGACTATCCTTTTTATGTAACACTAGCTGGTTGTTATTATGCGCAAGATGCTCGCGCTGCTGCACATGTACTTCAGCGAATCATGGCGATTGCTGGATATCAGTCGTTCTCTATACATTCAACTGTACATAAGGTTTTAGGCTAGCGAGAAACATGGATGACAGATGCTGGAGTAGCCGAAGCGTATCAATCCGATTGAGTATAGCCAGTAAAGGGAAGGCAATGACGTCGGTGGGTCATGCTGACTCAAAATCGGAAGAAATGGATATTGCCGCTGCTCACCGCTTAACATGGCTGCCTAATTCTGGGGGCTGGCATTTTTCCTTGATGAGGTCGACTTGATGTCATTTGGTTTGAACCGGTGGTTACTGTATGAGTATGTTGTTGTTCATCCGTCAATGGCTTGATTTGCGGGGAGAGCGAACATGCGGGATCATGATGTACAGTACGCCATGGATGTTGGCCACCATTGGCGTCATTATATGGTCAGAGAATTCTCCAATTGAGCTGGTTGGTTAACCGAGGCTCTCTACTCGGACGAGGAGAAGAAAAGGATTCTTCTATGCAGGAACGAGCAGGTGCCTTAGGCTCTCACAACACTATGAAGATAGCTTCCATTCTCAGCCCCTTCTCGAACTACAAACTCCTACCAGCATAAGCATCCCTTGATGGCTGACCACAATCTCTTGCCAGGGAGTGGCCGGGTCAACCCCAGAACCCCGAATAAGGTGTGATTAACGCCGTTAATCACAGTCACAAGCATACCGGACCTCTCCAGAAATTTATTGCGCATTTGAGTCTGCCTGCCTTTGTTGGGCCGAGGCTTTGAAGGGCGACCGAATTCCCAACAAAACGCATCATGGCTCCACTTTAATGCTCTTGTCGTTGCTCCCATTTGTCCTTATCTGGGTTTCCTGCTTGGCTCAGTCCGGCGACAGGTCGGAGCTGCGATGAAAGGAAGTTGAACTGATCAAAGTGACTGGATAATGGATATTATTGACCTCTTGGACTGTTTCTGAGTAGTCCCAAGTTTCACCCGTTGAAAAGAGATAATTGCCTCTGCTTTCCTTTCAGGCGCCCACGACGATCTTCCTTTTTTTTTTTTTTTTTCCTTGGTTAAATCTCCGTCATTCCCCTTTCTTAATTCCCTATTCTCTTTCACACATTGCATAACCCGAGGATTAACAGGGTTAATGCAACAAGTAAATAATTGATCCTTTATCCGAACTCTTATCGGAGTGATTGGCGCCTGTGCTCTTGCGGTATTGCGGTATTGTATTTGCGGGTGTGATTTTCCACTAGAACTTTTTTTTTTTTTTCCCAAAGCCGGCTTCCTTCCCTTTTTTGGGGTCAAGGACGTGGACTGTTGAGAAAAGCTTCCCCGTTTACCCCATTATCGGTGTCATTGAACGTGACTAGGGCATAACTATCTGCTCAATTCCTCCCTTTTGTTCACTGAGGCACTACTATATCTCCCTTTGTGATTAACTCACTACCATCATCTGCCTCTCTATACATACCCATATACCAGTGTCCGCTCCCGGTTGCGTCACCATGGTCGACATCACCGTCGATGGCCAGTCGAATCCGGCTGTCATCCGGTTCGGACTCCCTCCTTCTTCTCTTCTACAATTCCCACCCAGTGAGCTTCCTGCTACGCTGCCTGCGCCCATTACCTCCGAGCCGACTTGGTATCAGCCCTTCAACATCTCTCCCGAACTATACAACCAGCTCCTGGACGTGCGCGTTCCCATCACCATCGCCAGTGTCTACGCCGTCAGTGTCATCTTGTTGAACCGGGTGAACAAGAGTCGCGGTTACAAACCCTGGGGTTTCAGTCAAACGAGGCTCTTCAAGCTCTTCGTGATCCTCCACAATGTCTTCTTGGCTATCTATTCCGCATGGACCTTCGCCGGCATGATCCGCGCCTTCCGCAACTCGTGGCCCAGTCACGATGACCCCAACTACGTCGCAGCCGTCGCAGACACTCTGTGCAAGGTCAATGGCCCGCGCGGCTATGGTAATGCCGCTGTCTACAATCCTTCTGTCGAGCAGTGGACCATTCGGAACCCGGAATACAAGCTGGCTGCGACGGGCGTGCCCGATTTCACGGATGTTGGCCGCCTGTGGAACGAAGGATTGGCCTTCCTTGGATGGATCTTCTATCTGTCCAAGTTCTATGAAGTTTTGGACACCGTGATCATCCTCGCCAAGGGTAAGAAGAGCTCCACGCTGCAGACATACCACCATGCCGGTGCCATGATGTGCATGTGGGCTGGAATTCGCTATGTTGCGCCTCCCATCTGGATCTTCACCCTGGTTAACTCCGGTATTCACGCTCTCATGGTACGTACATCAAACCCGTTTTCACAGCGTTGACCACCTAGCGCTGACTGACACAATGCACAGTACACTTACTATACCATCACCGCTCTGCGTATCCGTGTCCCTACCGTGATCAAGAGGTCCTTGACTACTATGCAGATTACTCAGTTCGTCGTTGGTTCTGCCATGGCTGCGTCCTATCTCTTCATCAGTTACACCCTCCCAGCCAGCCAGGCTGCTTTCGAAGCTCCCATTTCGACTGCTCAATTTGTGGCTGCCGAAGCTGCGGAGGAGGGATTGGTGCCTTGGATCAAGAAACTGGCTTTCCGGGCCGCAGGTGCGGAGGGCCCTGCCGAGAACGTGGGAGTTCCTGACATCCCTGCTGCTGTTTCTGTGCAACCCCACCGTGTTGGTCCCATGGTCACTTGCATGGATACCACCGGACAGGGTTTCGCGATCTGGCTCAACGTTGTGTACCTTCTCCCCTTGACTTACCTCTTCGCTCGTTTCTTTGTCCGGTCTTATCTGTACCGCAAGGAGCCGGGCGCTCGCCAGCCCAGCAGCATTCAGGCCGCTGAGAAGGCTGGTTTGGATGCCTTGAAGGGTGTCAGCCGCGAAATCCGCAAGGCGGTCGAGGTGAACGGAGAGACCAGCGAGAGCACCGAGGATGAGGCGCTCAACCGCGTCCAGGCGCTCCGGTCGCACAACAAGTCCCAGCAGAAGCCGGCTGTCGAGAACTCGCCCATTCGCACACGTGCCACCACTGCCAAGCAGAAGGCCCGCGCTGTGTCCAGCGATGCGGATTCCGACCAGGGCTTCTCGACCGTTCCCTTAAAGAAGGGTGCCAAGAAGACCACCAAGGAGGAATTGCAGGCCCCCCCGGTTGTCGACGCCAAGGACTCCAACCCGTTCGAGGTTCTGGATCGATCTGCCTAGGTTCGGGGACTTTGAGCCCTGATGTCTCTTCGAGAAAACCATTTTTATCACAGTCCCGCCCCGAAGAATGCCTCACGGGCTAGATGGCGCAATCTCTCTGATTCAGCTTCTGCCGAGGTTATCGCTCATCTCAGCTCCATTTCTTCCTTGCGGTTATCTCTTGTCAGAATTCATGCCGCTCTGAATTTCTGGATCGGCCACGCAGGCCATCGAGGATGAATCAGCGATCGCGCCCTGATCGACTCAGGCGCGATGAATCTCCGCAAGCTGCGCCAAGGCTGTGTGGAAGCTGGTTACCTGGTGGCTGCTTTCGCACTTTCCCCACGCTCAGTTGTATACTATTCCAGCCCCGTGTCTTATTTGCGATGGTGGATTGGGCTGCAGCTCTTTGCTATTCCTGTCTATAACAACTTTTGTCCTTTCGCCGTTCAATGTTTTCTTTTGGTTGGTGTACATATTGGGGGCGTCATTTGCAGGTGGGTTTGCGCTTTGTTGCCACTGGGAGTCTCTGGGTGGGATGCGGAAAAGTGAATAGCTATTATTGATCAAATAAGCAAGATCAAATCAGAACAATGGAACTAACAAATCAGCATCAGGGTCTGAGAAGGAGGGACTTTCGAAATGCACTCGTAGTCGTCGTTCCTCTGCTGTTTTTTAGTTGAGATTAAGGGCGGTCATGTGAGGCACCGCCAACGCAGTCCTCCGTCGGTTTTGTCCAAATCCCGCTGCCTCCAGGCCGGAGTCCCCCTCCCTCATGTTCAACTTTCCAGTATAACTCGCTCTCAGCGCTCATGATGAGCCCATCATTGGCAATGATCCGGTCGAAGTCGGACTCAGTCTTCTGCAGCGATGCTATCGTCGTCCTCAGTCATTTGACCTGCATTGATTGCGATGGAGTGATTTCCACACAATGGGGAGGAAAATTGGAACCAGAACCGAGGCTGATCCTTCCAGGGCAGGTCCACACATCATAAGACAATTTGCCAGGTCGGCAAGATGAATCATTAAATCAAGAGAGATGACCGGCCCCCTCCCCTCTTATTCGAGAAGTCGGTCTCCGGCGCAATCGCAGGCCGGGCGTGGACGATGAATGGAGGAAAAACTCCCTAGGCTAAACTTCCCCACAGCCGTCTCCCCGCCGGACTTGGGTGGCTATGACGAACCGGTAGTGGTTCAGACCCTGGTCCCTTTCCCCACATCCCTCATCTCACCTTTTGTTCTAAAGCACGCGGCAGAGAAGCTCTGCGCCTCTTCATTTACCAGTTTGTCGACGCGCAACGGCTCTAGTGCATCGCATGAGCGACCTAATCAACTGCATATTAAATGTCCTCGCTTGGGCCCAATCGCTTACCGTCTCCGGCCTCCGCCAGTGGAGTTCAGTGGACAATATCGGGTCTCTCGGTCGTTTGGTCCTCTTTCCTGTTTCCCCCAGCAAAGCTGAGCTTTTTACCAAGTTGAGCTCGCGGGCACTTTTTTTTTTCACTGCTCCGGCCTTTCGTCAATGCCCACGCCAAAAGCCAATTCCGGTGTGCCGAGTAGCTTCTGGCCTGTTGACGATGCGAAATTTCTGGTGACGTGGGGTAATCACCGGCCTGGCTAAGGAACGGGGTATAAATTGAGGGCTCCTGGTCGCGATCGTTCAAGGAAAATGTTTCCTCCCAGACACATTTATCTTTTTGCATTGCCATTGTCTTGCCCGCGCGGACAGGTGCATGGTTTGAACCATGGCGCGATTACTCTTGCCAATTTCTCTTTTGCTGGCAAACTCAGGTCTGCTGGCCGCTGCTCAGAATCAGACTGCGGAGGGGTGGGAAGTCTTCAACAATGGACTGACCACCGACGTACAATGGGATCATTACAGTTTCCATGTGAATGATCAGCGAGTCTTTGTATTCTCTGGCGAGTTTCACTACTGGCGCATTCCCGTTCCTGGCTTGTGGAGGGACATTCTGGAGAAGATCAAAGCTGCTGGCTTCACCGGGTTCTCCATCTACACCAGCTGGGGATACCATTCCCCAAACAATCACACGGTTGACTTCTCCACCGGCGCTCACAACATCACCTCGATCTTCGATCTTGCGAAGGAGCTCGGTCTGTACATCATCGTCCGTCCTGGACCGTACGTCAACGCGGAAGCCAATGCTGGTGGGTTCCCCTTGTGGTTGACCTCCGGTGAATACGGAACCCTGCGGAACAATGATTCGCGGTATACGGATGCCTGGAAGCCATACTTCGACGAGGTCTCTCAGATCACCAGTCGCTACCAGGTCACCAATGGCCACAACACAATCTGCTACCAGATCGAGAATGAGTATGGTGACCAATGGCTTACCGACCCGAGCCAGAGGGTTCCCAACGAGACTGCAATAGACTATATGGAGCTCCTTGAGGCAAGCGCACGCGACAATGGTATCACAGTTCCCTTGACCTTCAATGACCCCAACATGAATGCGAAGTCCTGGTCCAGTGACTGGTCGGATGCTGGAGGCAATGTTGACGTCACCGGTGTTGATTCCTACCCTTCCGTAAGTGATTCATCTCAGAAACTTATTTCTCTACCATTCTGACTTGTTTAGTGCTGGTCGTGCGATACTAGTGTGTGCGACTCCACCAACGGCGCATATATTCCTTATCAGCTGGTCGAATATTATACCTACTTCCAAGAGTTCCAACCCCACATGCCCTCATTCCTCCCCGAGTTCCAGGGCGGCTCCTACAACCCATGGGCTGGCCCCGAAGGTGGATGCGGTGACGATACCGGTGCGGACTTTGTCAACCTCTTCTACCGCTGGAACATCGCGCAGCGGGTCACCGCCATGAGCTTGTATATGCTGTACGGAGGAACCAACTGGGGTTCAATTGCTACACCTGTGACCGCGACCAGCTATGACTACTCCGCGCCCATCTCTGAGGATCGTTCAATTGGCTCCAAGTACTACGAGACCAAGCTGCTGTCGCTGTTCACCCGAAGTGCGGGCGACTTGACCATGACGGACCTGGTTGGAAATGGAACCCAGTACACCGACAACTCCCTTATCACGACCTACGAACTCCGGAACCCTGAGACCAATGCTGCATTCTACGTGACGCGGCACGCGGATTCCACCTCAGACACGAATGAAGCTTTCAAGCTGCACCTCAACACGTCAGCTGGAAACTTGATTGTTCCCCGCAACGGAGGCAAAATCAGAATCGATGGACATCAGTCCAAGATCATCGTCACGGATTTCAACCTCGGCTCGGAGACTCTGCTGTACTCCACGGCCGAAGTGCTTACCTACTCGGTCATCGACAATGAGCCAACTCTTGTCCTCTGGGTGCCGATTGGCGAGTCTGGAGAGTTCGCCGTGAAGGGTGCCAAGTCCGGATCCGTTCTCTCGAAGTGTGCGAAATGCTCTCAGCCGACCTTCAAGCGGCAGGGAGGCAGTCTGACCGTCAGCTTCACCCAGTCCGCGGGAATGAGTGTGCTGAACATCGACAACAAGCTGCGCGTGGTGCTTCTGGATCGTACCGCAGCCTATCTCTTCTGGGCCCCTACCTTGACCGAAAATCCCTTGGCCCCTGCCAACGAGACAGGTATAGAAATCTCGCTTCGGCTTATCATCTGCAGAATATTAACTTCCGATAGTACTGATCCAAGGTCCCTACCTTGTCCGTTCCGTCAAGGAAGATAGCAACACTCTTGAGATCAAGGGTGACGCGGTCAACGCTACGGAGATTGAAGTCTTCGCTTCCAAGAAGGTCAAGAGCCTGACCTGGAACGGCAAGCAGATCAAGTCGACCAAGACTGCCCACGGTAGTCTGAGAGCCTCTTTGGCAGCTCCCAAGGCTATTACTCTTCCAGCTTTGACATCCTGGAGATCGAACGACAGCTTGCCTGAGCGTAGCGTGTCATATGATGATACTGGTGCTGCTTGGGTTGGTATGTATACTCTACTACGGTGTTTTTAAAGGCTATTGACTAACGAGATTCAAGCGGCCGACCACATGACGACCTACAACCCCCAGCCCCCAGCTACCCTTCCAGTCCTGTACGGTGATGACTACGGTAAGCACTTCAGCTTGTTACAAAACGAATATCAACTAATCACGACTCCAGGTTTCCACAACGGCATCCGTCTGTTCCGCGGATACTTTAATAGTTCCGCCTCCGGAGTATTCCTCAACATTCAAGGTGGAGACGCATTGTAAGCTTTCCCACTCCCCCCTCCACCTTTGACCCCTTTTACCGGTAGAGAATGTAACCAGCTAAACCCTAAAACAGCGGCTTCTCCGCCTGGTTGAACGGCCACTTCATCGGCTCCTACCTCGGCAACGCTACCATCGCTCAAGCCAACAAGACCATCACCTTCCCGGCCGAGTACCTCTCCTCCGACCCGAAGACCACCCCGAACGTCCTGCTCGTCGTCCACGACGACACTGGCCACGACGAGACCACCGGCGTCCTCAACCCCCGCGGTATCCTCGAAGCGCGCTTGTTGTCCAACACCTCCACCACCCCCGAATTCACCCACTGGCGCCTCGCCGGCACCGCGGGCGGAGAATCCAACCTTGACCCCGTCCGCGGTGTCTACAACGAAGACGGCCTCTTCGCCGAGCGTGTCGGCTGGCACCTTCCGGAGTTTGACGACAGCAAGTGGACTGTAGCTTCGTCGTCGTCATCATCATCCTTGTCCTTCACCGGCGCGACCATTAAATTCTTCCGCACCACGGTGCCCCTCCACATCCCCACGGGACTGGACGTCTCCATCTCGTTCGTCCTCGGCACCCCCGACGACGCCCCCAGTAACGCCTACCGCGCCCAGCTGTTCGTCAACGGCTACCAGTACGGCCGGTACTTCCCCTACATCGGCAACCAGGTCGTCTACCCGGTCCCCGCGGGCGTGCTGGACTACAACGGCGAGAACACCATCGCCGTGGCGGTGTGGGCGCAGACCGAGGCCGGCGCCGGGATGACCGTGGACTGGCGCGTGAACTACGTTGCGGATAGTTCGTTGAGT